GTTTTTGATCCGTATTGTCGAACTGAAAGTTTTGTTAATAAAAAGTTTACTGTAAGAGTGTCAGAGCCACTTATACTGTTTAAGACATCTTTGGAAGAATTACCACAAGTTGAAGTAGAACCACAGGCTCAAGATGAAAAACCCCCCAGCGAAGATTTTGAAGATAAAAACCCTCCCAATGGACAACCCCCAGATTCAGAGAAGGGGGTGTTGCTTTTAAAAGATGATGATGAGATGGATGGAACCAGAGAAAAAATGTCTGAAATAGCCGTTGGATTGCTGGATTTTTTCGGGGTAAACATATTTTCTTTTTTCTTCTTCTCTTTTTTAAACACATGTAATACGCTACACCTTGTGATATTTGTAAACCATACATAATTAAGCTTTTGGGAGAATTTCTGCCATACCAAAATTTAGCCGTCGACATAAACGTTTTAAAATTGCTTGGTAACTAAAAGTTTCTAAAAAAGCTTTTACATACCTAATTAAACCAAATAATGGTGGCTTAATGAATATAATAAACTATGCCAATTGGAATTTCCTCTGAAATGAGCTTTCATTCTTTTATTGTTCGATCTATTATTATCACATCACCACATAATTTAATGGCTTGCATTTGTTAACAACATATCGCATTTTCAGTTTGTTGTCCCAAGTGTACTTTTCATTTGCATATGTATAACTAGTTTAATCGGAATATATGACAATCCACATTATTCCTTTCTTATTCTAGAACTGATTTTTGTTGCTGATTGATATCTTTTTGTAGAAAAAGTAATATAAACACACATACAGTTTGTCGTTATCTGGTCCCTAAAATTATCAAGTGGTCAGATATTGCATAGTGCAATCGTCATATTTCAAATTAGACCCTTTCCACTTAGAGATATCAAAATTACCAAACAAAAGGAAGCGTCTGTGGTTTTCTTTCATCTCAAACCACATCAATCGATACAAATACGGCTCTAACCACATGAAATGGTTCAAATATGGCTCATATAAGTCTGATGAGTGAACATAGGTGTCCGAATAAGTAATCTAATTTATTCCTTGTTCCGTTATGAAGGCAAAATTAACTGCCCGTAATTACATGCTTTACGGAAAAATGATAATTGACATCAATTAAAAAATAGTTTGCATTCGTACTTTAACAAGGCACAAGGAAGATTTTCTGGCTATCTAATTATCATTTACTCCATTTATAACAGGATGGTCTGGATAATTGGTTGTGCATTTCGGTGTCATACTTCTGCTGTTTGATAATCTTCAGTTATTTTGAAATAAATAGCCATCTGGCTTGCTTGTAACTTTATTAATTGAAAGATTTTCATTATTTCTTATGTTGCTGTAATACATTACTCATAATGCCATTTATAATACTGCTGGTTGTCAATCAATCGATTCTAAAAGCGTCTCAGGGTTACCACATGGATAGGAGAGGATAATATGTGTCCTCTGAACACTGATCAACTGATAAGAATAACATAGTTGATAACAGAGTCACGCGATAAACCGGACTTAAAATGATGGCAAACAGGAGAATCTCCTCGGCTCAAAGCTCTCTTCCAGCGATAGATGAAGAAGCAGCCCGTCGCAGGAGAAGCTCCCTCGCACAATCCAGAAGGGACTCTATCATGGGTGGTGGCTCCAGAGCTTCTGTTTCCTCAAATAATCCTCGACCAGAAGACTATAACAGAACTAACTCTGCACCTACCCCCGGTGAAATTCCAGCTGAAGTACCCTCTGACAGATCCCGGATGAGGGTTGTGAGAAGAAGATCTACTTCTTCCGGACTGTTCACTGGACTTCTTCCTGGCATGCGATCTAGAACTGCTTCAATTGTATCTACACAGCAAGGATCTCAGAGGAACCTCATGCGCGGGTCTGAGACACCTCTGGAGGAGGAGAATTTCCCGTTCAAGGAGGTGAAAAGAAAACCACTTGAACATGATGTTGAGTTGGAGGAAATGATTATAAAACGAAAAGAATCCCAAAGGAGAATGAACTTCTTGCACAGGCAGGACTCAACACCCTTGTTGATGAACGTGGAGAGAAGAGGAGTAGAGAGGAGGGTCCGAGAACAGCCCCCACCTTATCAGTTCCCGGTACTTGAGACCCCACTGTTGCGGTGCTTCCGGGATGGGTCATTAAAACAGGGTCCGTCTGAGGAGGAATCAGACACAAGTTCGAGGAAAAGACGTTATCGGGGACTCTTCCGTTTTCATCCTTTTAAAGGGAGATGTGGTCTTAAAGGGTTGACAAAAGGGGTAGGTGAAATTAATAGTCAAGATGAAATGGTAGATCAGAAATTTCCTTTTTTTTAGATAATTCGAATAATTCCCGTAAATTTGAGTACAAAATGAATGATCGCATCGTTGTTATTATTATCACACACAAAAGACACGTACAACTTCATTTTCATTACCGTTGCCCACAATCATTATTAACTCGCGATTTAGCATACCAGACAATCTTCCTACCTAAATTAATTACAATGTAATTTACGTGGCAAAGAATGCACCTCTTCCTCCTCAACTGACGTCTGACACTCTACCAGTCGCTGAAGCAGGGAAATCTATTTTGGTGCTATGATTTACAATTTAATAATTTACAATTATTTACTGAAACATCTACGTCCGCATGTAACTGTATAGGCTTATGTCCTACTCCTATGGTATGCCGTATGCTCCAATGGGCGATAACAATTATTAACAATATGCACTCTTAAGGTTTCCTCCAAAATTAATAGCACTCCTAAAGTATTAAAATATAAAAATGTGTTGCCTTATTTATGCGATATTTTATTCCTCTGAATGAATTTCCCGGATAAACATGACAATAAGAGGAAAAATTAACGAAGCGGCCGCGCTTGATTGGCTACAGGGAAGAGCACAAATATTCACACAGTTCCTCACTTAAACCGAACAAAATTTATTAAAAAGTTTCAATTTGATTAATTATAAGCCATTCAGTGGTAGCAGAATAAATCTGAGTAAATTTGCAGTGCATTTGTTCCGCTGTATTATAACCGTATAATTCGTAATTTAAGTGTTGCTTTGTGGTGTCGGTCACACTTGAAAACAAAGCAAAACCTTGTTTGGCCGTTTAATTTGAGGTCGTGTTTGGTGCGCTTAAAAGTTGTTAAAGTAGAAGTTCAGTTGGTGATCATCATCGAGCGATCCCGAAATGCACCATTCAGCATTGTTAAGGCGACTCAGAGAAAACAACAGACATTTCAAAGAAATATCTAAGTCTCAAGAATCTATTTCTACTCGGAGCCAGTCTAAAACGCGAAGCAAATCTGTTGTATTTGTGAGTAACTTGTCGGATATGACCCTAATTTATGGTTTACATTCGCAAAACAAACTCTGTTTGGCCTCTCCGATGAAATTCTATGCCATGTAGAAAATGGCAACTACATCTATCAAACTGGGAAACGGATTGAAAACATCCGTCCAGTTATTGAAATGAGTTTTACCAATTCTCCAAGGCGTTTCCAGAGCTATTGTAATATTGTTGCAAGCAATGAAATGTGCAGACATATATATTATAGTATATATATATATAGTTGTCTAGTATATTTGGAGTGTAATCTATTATTGCCGTTTGAAGTGTATAGTATATTCACAATAAAACCGCTTAAATTAGGTTAAGCGTGCTGTCCTATCAATTCAGCAATTCATTACAGGGGTTGCACAATTTATATCTGATGCAACACACGTACCAATAACGTGTATCCGACTTCGTCTAGTATTGATAGTTGCATTATATTTTCCGTTTTTAGTTTTAGTCCGTCTTTTCTAAAGGCAATGTCAAGAGCAAGTAATCCGTCCAGCACGGACTTGAGTCCGTCCAGCACGGACTTGAGCGATTTTTATTCAGTTTCTAGCTTACCAACTTCAACAACACCTTCTTCCTCATCACTGAATTGCAATTCAAATCCTCCCTCTTCGAATGCTTCACATTCTTCATCATATCCAGATTCTCCAAGATCATCCCATGACCCTAGTTCCAAGCATAAATCTGATATTACTCGACAAAGACCCCTGCCTCGTGATGAAGGCAGAGATACTGTGCCTTCGATGAAATACAACAGACTGGGTCTTGCATCAAAATTCATCGAACAGATAGAATCAAATAAACCCCCTGCAAAACCCAATCGACGCAAAAGTAAAATAGGTGATTCACAAGCTCCAGAAGATTACGGTGAAGCAATTCCAAAACCACGACTACGTAAGAAATCAAAAACCAGCTACAGCATCTTCCACCAAATCCCACCTGTCCCACCCTCCCCCTCCAGGACACCACCCCTCCCACCCTACCTACATCACCTCCAATCTCCTCACCTACTCCCCAGCCCTGAGCTCCACAGACATGAATACAAGCATCCTAGAACCACCCCTGATGTGTTGCTGGAGGATGTGGTGTCTGTTGTTAGTTCTCATTATACTGATTCTATTCCTGAAGTGGAGGAGGCGAAGGAGACGGTTATTGAAAAGTTCTTCCGGATAATCCTACTGAACGAGGATAGGTTGTTTAATATAACGTATAGGCTGAGGCAGAAAGCAAGAAGGTATCTACGGCACCACGCAGATCCAGACAGGGATATATGGTGTTGTGGGAGGTTGTGTAGGTGGGTGGAGACGTGGAAGTGGAACTGCTGGAGACTCTTCTACTATGTCTACGACTTCTTTGATCGAGCAGATGCAAAGAGGAGAAAGAGGTGGACGGAGTCAAGATCAGCGGTACTCCATTATATATTGATAAAATAATTACTATAACAAAATATTAAAATAATATATAACGTGACATAATAATAGAAGGTGTTTTAACTTACTCTCATGCTGTGAAAACTTTGTGAGAATTAGCCATCGCGCTACACTGCCTCTTGCAAGCTTTTCTTTCTTATAAGTTATTGTAAAAATACGAAATTGTTTATCCTATCTGAACCATGTTATAATGTTTTTTTTTTCCATGTGCTCTAATATAATATTCCTCAGTTACAAACTGCGATATCACTCTTCAAAGATGTCTTGAAAGACTCTCAGGGACCCCAACGATTACCCATAACAGGTCAGCCTCTTTAGTAACTGTTTTGTGATTCTTTAGGAACTCTTCAGTAACTCTTAAATAACTCCTTAGTCTTCCATGGCGAGATAGTGCTAATCATTCTTTTGTTGTATAGTTACATTATATTACATCATTATTATATACTTATATTGCTTCACTACATAGCACTGTGGAGACTACATAGTCGTAGTTGATTGAACCAATTCGTGGTTTAATGTTAGATCTGAACATTCGATCACAGCTAATTTGGACATCTTACAAAAGCTAGCCTGCAGTTAGCTCAGCACTCACTTACACATATCCTTGGTGGGCAGCAATAGATTCTTTACAACACTGTTATTTGCACCCAACATGTTACGTGTGGTATTTGGAGTAATGGTATTTGGAGTAGTAAATCTCAATCTAATTGTCAAATACACTTGAGAACTTGCGGATGCGTTTATTAAATGGCAAGATAATGAGCAGCAAGGTGTAACATTGTAATGTGTGTTGCACATAATATGGGATATGTATAACAATTGTGTGCATTATAGCGGCATTTATACGGCAAATATTTCTGTGATTAGATATTGATTACGGGTACAAGAAAATATTATGGAAATATTTTCAAGAATCTGCTGTTATAAAGTTTAGAAACTATGAACGGGATTCATGTGTCTTCAAAAACCACTTTGATGACTCTTAATGGTCGGAGGAAATTGATTTGAACATTTCCTGTCTACACTCATTTTTTTAAGAAAATTTATCATTTCTTCTGAAACATTCAGTGATGACAATGTTACAATGCTGGTATCACTGAATTTTGTTCAGAAAAACATTATAAGTTTTCTTGAAAGAATCATCAGATAAGACGATGTTGACATGGTAACACTACCATATAAGGTGATGTTGACATGGTAACACTACCATATAAGGTGATGTTGACATGGTAACACTACCATATAAGGCGATGTTGACATGTTAACACTACCATATAAGGTGATGTTGACATGGTAACACTACCATATAAGGAATTAATCAGATCTGTACCTTCAGATATCCCACCCCAACTTGAGAACCAAGATGACCCCTACGCCTTATTCAGATATTTGGAGCAATGTGCTTTAGATCAAGGAGCTGTTCTAACCATGGCCCCTTACTGCACAGTTGAGGTGAGTAAGTCTTTAGTAAGTCGTTAGAAACTCTTTAGTAAGTCGTTAGTAACTCTTTGGTAACTCTTTGGTAACTCTTTGGTAACTCTTTGCTACTCATGGCACAGTTAGGGTTAGCTAGCAGTGGCAGCAATAACTGTACCAATATCTGACTTTCGTAAACTTCCTATCAAACATAATAGTCATGTTTCCCCAAATTAAGTTCAGTGATTCCAATGAAACGATCAACTGTTTATCAATAAAAACCACCCAATCAGGTGGAGGACGACAAGTTTAACGCCCTTGTTGAGTCACACGACTTGGCATTGATGGATTACCATGGTCAGACTGTTCTCCACATTACAAGTAAGTTTATGTTAGGATTTCGGGTACATCGCTGATTGCCCTGCTGTGGGCCGTTCCCCTGGCTCAACCAGGTTTAGTTTATCCTTATTTAATTGATATAAGCATAAATTATAATACAGGTAGGTTAAGATTTTTATAAAATATCTGGTGGTAACTAATCTTGTTTCTGCGGTTTGTATTACTTTTTTATACTTCCTTTTGACACTGCATAAAAATTACCTACACTTTGTTATTATTTTATTAACATACTGCAAATTTTACGAATACTTTCCAATTTAGTTGCTTATATTAACAATTAACAGCCCAATACTGTGATAAAAAAGAAGTGGAGAAGTTGATAAATTGCGGTGGTGATCCAAATGCTGAGGACTTTGACGGTTACACCCCCCTATTTTATGCAGGTTTGTTTAAAATAACCTGGCAGATGTTGAAATATTCTTGGTACGCCCGAATTTTTTCTTTGATCAAATTTTTTCTTAGACTACAGAAATGCTTTGATCACAGTAATGCTTGCAGTAAGTCCAAACTTTTCGGTAGGTTCAACTTCACTAAGTTAATCCATACTTTTAACAAACCTATCTAGGCCGCAAAAACTAATGTACAATTCCTACTTCATCAATAAACGTTTCCGCTATTTCAAATGTATGTTTATTATACAAATACTTTTATGTTTATCTAAAATAACATTTCTTGCAGCTATAGCACAGAAGCCCAATACAGCGGACACGCTTATAAAGAATAACGCGGATATCAACTACAGATGTAAAAAGACCGGACGCTCCGCAATGCATATTGCTGGTTAGCACATAATTCAAATACTTAACGTGCATGATTCAAATATCCTAAGTACATAATTCACATACCATTCACTTATTATTTGCAAACTTCTCTCCTACTAGTACTCGTGTCAACCACCTTACAAACGAGACTTATTAACGAGATATGGCGTTACCTTTGAAAAAGTCTCAACAAGTTACCACCACCCGTGTAATAACTATTTTTAAGTAGGATAGCTCTTATAAGATATGGCTTTGGAAAATCTGGTGAACAGATGTTACTAGGCTTCGTTGGTTAAAGCACATGAGTGTAGACATCAAAAGTGTTATGTTCTTGATGAAATTACAACGGCACGTTTTTGCAAGGAATTTAGTCTTTAAACAGAAAGCTGTTCGTCTCATAATGAGAAGAAGGTTTTTCCTTCGTGATTAAAATAGTCTGCAGCCAAGATAAATTCAATTTTGTCAGAGGCTTTTTCCGAGGAAAATTAGATATTCAGGCGTGTTGGTTATTAGTATTACAAAGGAAGGCTGAAGCACGCGCTCTCAGTTACAATTGGAATTTTTGACTAAAGAGTAGAAATTTTGGCTGTTCCCAATTACAACAATGTAACGTATTATCCTACTATCTGCTTCTGACTAAAAGCGAAGATGTTCATTAGTATAAAGATACCGCAGCCTGAGTTGTAGTCATGAGTCTTCTCCTAATTTTTTAATGCATTACATCGATCTTTTCAATACCAGATCGTAGCGATTTAGTTGAAACATTTTGTTTCTATTCTACAGAAGACACTAAAAGACGGTTTCATCAATACTTAATAATCAGCTGTTATATTTCAGCTCAGTTTGGTGCAATGAAAGTGATGGAGCTGCTAGTGGAGAAGGGTGCAGATATAAACGTACTGGACAACATGAACCATACCCCCATCATTGTGTCCAGCTACTACGCAAGATCTGACATTTCCGCTTATCTTGTTGATAAAGTAAGTTTTGAAAGATTTTTGATGTTTTGTAATATCAAATAGATCGAATAACTTGCACCACCAGATCGTATGCTAGAGAGACTTATAACCTCAATCATGATGATAACCAGGTTAATATTTACTACTTTCTAAACATTACACGACTCCCTGCAGGGTGCCGACACCTGCATTGAGGACAAATCAGGGATAATGGGTCTGATGAGGATAGCCTACACCATGCCTACCATTACCAGAGAAGTGTTCGATAAGTCAGTCAGACAAAATCTCTAAGTTCATATATATTAGCTTAAACTTTGAATTATTATTTCCATGTTATTCTACACGCCCCTAGTGATAAGGTGTAACTTGTAAGACAAGACACGTTTTGTACGACACTTTTTGCAGGTTTGTTACAGAAGATGTGTATCAGGGTGAAAGATATTACCAGCTCGACCGACTGGTCGGCAGTCCGGGTAACTATGGCAACAATATCATCTTTGTAACCATGACAACATGATATTATCCGCATGAAAGTTTTATTGCAATATTGATTGGCTACATGGCTTGAACTTGAAGACGTCTTGGCGCAGGCGTGACACTGTAGTAGTTATGTTTCTAACGTACTAGGCTTCAGTAATTGCAAGTTTATATTTCACCCTTTTATATTATCACATACTTTACTCTGGCATGAAAAAGGTCTAACCAAGTCTAGCTAATATAAGCCAAACCCTTATATCTGCGTATCAACTATCATGTAGGGCTTCGTCTTATTTGTGAAAGAAAAGCACAAATACCAACCCAGCTTAAGTAACCGGCGTGCAGCTGTCCATTAGGGCAAATAATGCCTTGTGAATTTCTAGGTGGTTACCACCTAGTATTGCGATATTAGCCATAACTCCTGAACTGTCGTACACTAATCAGCGTATCCAGCCGAGCCTAACTTTATCCCGTCAAATCAGTACGACTGTATCTCGTCCAATTAGTCATTTAGCCTGACTCATATCTCCTCCAATTAGTCTAACTCATAGCTCGTCCAATTTTGTTGCATCATTTCCTATCTGGTTGCAGGTGTACACTATTAACTTTGTAACTCAGCAATGGCTAGGCTTTCAAACCTGAGCATGTCTTGGCAAATCTAATTACTTAATTATTAGTTTTGCGAGAGGTGTAAATATGTCGGCGACAAAATGATATCAAGCTGGTGGCACGCTATTTTACAGGGATTGACACACAAAATCTCATTTTACAGTGATTGACACTCAAAATCGACCCTATTTTATCCGGAAAACAATGTTTAAAAGGGTTTAAGTGTTTAGTATGCAACTAAGACTATGATGAGGGCAGAGTTAAACGAAATACTTATTGGATAAAATATTGGGTATTTTAGAATTTGGCATCAGCATGTAAAAATTAACGTCAAATAACGTCAAATATTTTGCAGTAATAAGACTAAACATCAGCCTAATTGTATTATTCACTATTCATTGGCCTTAATGATAAGCTGCTGCATTATATTATTGCCAAAGTGCTTGAATTTCTATCGCACACTATTGACAAAGAACTAATTGTATCTAAACACTCCGCACCAAGGGGAACATGGCACGAGAAACACAACTTTAATTTTTTCCAGACCTAAAAGAGCTATTTCTAAAGCCCTTAACTGTTGTTAAGTGAATGATAGATGTAAAATGTATTTAATCACTCCGTCCCAAGTGAAATCTGGTACTTACAAATATTTGGAATCTAAAAAAAACTTAAACTTTCAGTTTTGAAGCTTGCCAAAAAAGGCTTTTATAATACTTCAGAGAGAAAAAGTATCGGAGGACTGGTTACTAATGAGATTAAGTCACGTTTCACTAAACTGTATCCCCTAACAACTTAACAACTAAACCGTATCCCCTAACAACTAAACCGTATCCCCTAACAACTAAACCGTATCCCCTAACAACTAAACCGTATCCCCTAACAACTAAACCGTATCCCCTAACAACTAAACCGTATCCCCTAACAACTAAAACGTATGCCCTAACAACTAAACCGTATCCCCTAACAACTAAACCGTATCCCCTAACAGCTAAACCGTATCCCCTAACAACTAAACCATATTCCCTAACAACTAAACCGTATCCCCTAACAACTAAACCGTATCCCCTAACAACTAAACCGTATCCCCTAACAACTAAACCGTATCCCCTAACAACTAAACCGTATCCCCTAACAACTAAACCGTATCCCCTAACAACTAAACCGTATCCCCTAACAACTAAACCGTATCCCCTAACAACTAAACCGTATCCCCTAACAACTAAACCGTATCCCCTAACAACTAAACCGTATCCCCTAACAACCAAACCGTATCCCCTAACAACTAAACCGTACAATCCCCTCAGGTCGGAACATGTTCTGCTCGTTCTACCACTACCTGGTATGGTTAGCCAACATGGGTCTGATAGAGCACTCCATCTTCGACCGTCTCACCAAAGCAAAATGGCAGCTCTACGCCAAGAAACATGCCACCCACAAGTTCATATTCCTGGGCGTTTTCCTCAGTGTCTGGAGTTTTGTGTATGTTCAGCCCCATTCCTTCATAGACGAACTGAAGACCGTGGACGTCGTCTACGCCTTGTCCATAATCATTGCCATGTCCGCGTATGTGTGGCGGTTCATCAGTAATGTCAGACTCCTCAAAGAGAAATTTAAGTACTTAAACTTTTTAAAGAAACTGTTCGATGACACTTATCAGAGGGAGGTTAATTCTCTTCACTTCAAGGGGAAGGACCTCGAAAACTTCCTAAAAAAGAGGTACGGTGATAGACAACTAACGTTCTTGGACGATGTGAAATCGTCACCAGCCGTCCTCATTGACTTTCTCGTAGACAATCTCCTCCTTTTCTTCATCATCGGGAAGGTTATCATCTTTGTTAGAGGTGCTAAAAGAGTGAAGGAACCCAGGATGAACAGTGCCAATGATGAACTGGATGCTTCCGTCCAGCTTTTCATAAATGCTACTGATTTATTTGGTGCCATCGTTATGATCCTGATGTGGTTGTCATGTTTCCTCAAGCTTCAGATCACTAAGAAGGTAACTATGGTAATACTAAATTCTATCAAATGACTTCATCGACCTCACACGTGCTATAACTGTAAAGTGTTGACTGACAATTGTTTGAACTTTTCCGAGGTAAGCCATATAACAAAAGAGATCTACTAATGATTTAAGATTTAACGATGACTCTTGTCAGGTCGGACCCTTCGTGGTATACATGAAGTATGTCATGGGTGATCTTAGCACTATCGGTACCATGTTTGCAACACTATTTGTGCCAGCCGTGTGTGTCTTCTACAAGACGACTTACAGCAAGTAAGTTTTACTCTTCTTTAAATTACACTTACTTCATCAAGTTCAGTAATCAAAGAGAAGACTATTAAAGTGTATTAATAACTAGTTTATAAAATTACAGCTTTGCTAACATATTCCTCCTTGCACTAACAGAAAGCGGGCAAATTTAAATCTACCAATTCACTATGCAGAAACTAAAACTAACGTTTACCGATCATTTTAGCAATTTGATCCCACACCGCGGTGATACACGATTAAGGTTTGAGCTATGCTAAATCAGGGGTGTGAGCTATGCATAACTAGCCCCCCCAAAATACTGGTCTAGTTGCTAGCTCACGCCTCGGCGCTACATATAGCTCAACACTTCCAACAGCTTCTTATATCATGGATACTGTTTTTTGCTGAACGCCCCCGCCCCCAATTTAGGGCATTATTGCTGCACAATATGTAGCTAACATTCAAAACTTCAGAGGTCGCTTATAATGATGATTTATTCAAATTTCAGCGTATGCCAATCGATAATTTAGTTTTTAAGCATCTTTTTTGGGCCAGCCTTTAGCAGCTACAAAAGAATTGGCGCATTGATATGTGATGGGTTATGCTGGGAAAATCAGTTTAAAACCTTTTCTTCCAAAACATACGCTGTTTTATGGCTGGCAACAAGCCAAATTTCATTAACTTTTGATAGGGATTCATTAGCGATTTATTAGCGACATTAGCTCATTCATATGTGAGTATGCGTGTTATAAAGCATATTATGTGTTTATTGTAAAGTGAAGCATCCAATTTAAACCTGTTCTTAAACCTGTTGTTCACCACTGAATTTGACCAATCTGAATGTCGAACAGTTATTCCTAATTCGCTTCAAAGTCCAACTCAAAAGTTTCGCCCATTGCTAATCTTATACATTGCTAAAACACTTGTATCAGGATCCCGTCAGCTCTCTCTAAACTATTAACAACAACAACCCCCTCTAGAGTTAGGCACTCCCACGGCGCCCCCAAAGTTGTGGAAATACCCCAGCCTTTCGATGAGGCTCCATCCTCCTCTCAGGTTGCAGCTACACGGGACAGGTTTTACCAGACAAGCAGAGACAACATCCGGTTTATTAGGCTAGACCGGGCGGCATCTAGCACCCTTCTAAGCTTATAACAGCATATCTAGCATCCAGGACCATTACTGGAGGCACCAAGCATCCGTATAAAGGCAAGTAGCAACCACCTACTTCTAGTAGTAATTAGAAGCCTTCTGAGGACGCCGAAGAAGCACCCGAGGATCTTTCTTTGCAGGGACACCACTCAGAAGTAGAGAAAGATCAGCCTATCACAGTGGCACCATCCTCCACCCTAGTGGCTCCAGAGTTCTGGTAACCAAGTAGCAGAGATCCGGTTACCAAGTAGCAGAGTTCTGGTAACCAAGTAGCAGAGATCTGGTTACCAGACAGTATAAAAACCTTGGTCATTCCCAGACCAGGAGCTCAGCACACCACCATAAGCATCTAGCATTATCATGATGGAACCCAGGGCCATTCTGGAGACATTTAGCATCCGTGAAGAGGCAAGTAGCAAAGACAAGTAGCAAGTAGCAACTATCCTGTAGTTATAGCAACTATCCTGTAGTTATAGCAACTATCCTGTAGTTATAGCAACTATCCTCTAGTTATAGCAACTATCCTCTAGTTATAAATAGCCTTTTGCAGACGGCGAGGACGATCACCTGGCTGTCTGCGAGACCCATAAAAGCCTTTCACAGAAGCACCAAGGTTCCAACCGCTAAGGTTTCTCTGTAAGTCTGTAGATAGACTTAACTGATATCGTTTTATAATTCAAAAAATATGTCGGACCCAAGGTTTTTAGCAGTGGCGTAACGTAGGGTCCCTTGTCATAGGAAGATCATCCAAAGAGGACCCTCTCAAAGCTATGTACCCACCTTAATAATAGAAGCCATTCTCCTTTTTGAATCTATGGAGGCCACTTCCACTTTCCAATCCCTCTTACTAATTTCCAAGCCCTTGTTAAAGGTACTTTGGGCATGCATTTACCAAACCATGAATTATAGTGAGACAGTTATTGGTGAACAACAAATTGAACAGCAAATTGGATGTTTCCTTTTCACATAATATGCCTGCTTGGAATCGTTCAATTTTTTCGCACACTCTCATTTGACAAAAAAGACAGTCTATCACAGCTGTCTTAAGCTGTAATGTATTAATTCATAATATTTATGAATAATTATGCTCAGTTTAAGCAAAGTCCTATGCGATGATATGAACTTAACCCTTCAGTCAAGAACCGCTCAAAATTAGTTGGCAATTGGCATACTCTAAATTTACTTTTAGTCATTTCGGGTAACCTTTGAAGTTTTGAACTCACTCACCTCACTACTTCGCTATAGTAGTAAACTTTAAATTAGATGCACAACTATGATAACAAGTACTAACTTTAAAAAATAATTGTCTTCATCTAGATACACCAACTAACCATATATAGTTTTTTAATGCAATTTTATATCTAGATATAATAGTTCTATAAAAAGAGCATTGCTTTTACTCTGCTGTTTTTCAAGCTGCTAACGACAGCCGTACTAAATGTGCTGAATCCTTTGAGCTGCTGCTTTACGCTAGTAATTATACCTGTCTTCTTTATTGTAAACTGCATATTTTTAATCTATATTATATAGATTAAAAATATGTGTATTATGTTTAGGGACTGGTTTATTAGTCAGTCAATGTTTACGAATATAATAAATTACACAATTATAAATGTATAACATAAATAGATCAAATCTTAAACAGAATATTTGCACGCAGAAAGAATACTTGCACGCAGTTAGAATATTTGCACGCATATCAGAATATTTGCACGCAGACAGAATATTTGCACGCAGTAGTGTACGTGCTGTGTTAAAGTGTTAACCGTTAAGTGAAAATACGGAAAATACCTAAATCCTATATTGTGCTATTTGAAGAGCTCTAACAGGTCTGACACGTGAAAGACATTAACTAAATAACAAACCCTTCTTAACTGAATAACAGCTAAATAGTAAATACCTAGCTTCTTCTCTAAATACCAGACAGTAACCTGGTAACCAGCTAGTAACCTGGTTACCAGTTAGTAACCTAGTAACTAGCTAGTAATACTGCTTCTTAACTTTTTCAACTACAGCGGATTATCGGACGAATTTGAAGGGTAATTATAATGCGGCACACATCTAATATGACACAACAGATCAGACCAGGGAACTGCAGCATGCATAGACAGCAGCAGCAGCAATTAATGCATTATATTATGCAGCATTATGCAGCATTATGCATTATGCATTATGCGCATAAGTTGATCTGCCTCGCATTGTAACTTCCTGGTGCAGCTCTTATTGAGTTCTAATAGATCAGCCACATTTGATAAAGCCAGCTATCTTAACTAGCAAATTTTAGCATGAACTAATAATTTCTGGCACGAAGAGCTTCTCTGCAACTGAGAGAAAACTATGAGATGAACCGAAATTTTAAAGGTATTTTAGTCTTGAATTCAAGCAACAAAAACGACTAAAAGCATGGAATCCAAAGTTTTACACCCAGATAAAATCTATCTATAGATTGTATCTATAGAATTAAAGATTACAGCAGTTAGGACCGCATGTTTACTAACTTAATTTTACAGTATCACCCGACCGCACCTCCACTCTGAAGGGTAAAATAATCGTCCTTTTTTCTCCTTTTTTACCCCCACAGTTCAGATTCAGATAACACTTTTCATGTATTTACATGTTCAACATGAAACCCTTGATGTGTGTACATTTTTTTATTGGTTGATGGATAAGTTGGTTGAAAATCGGTATTTCTTCGATACAAGTTGTGGATTCCTTCTTTCACAACAATAGCTACTTAAAGAGTAAACCTAAAATCTAGATATTATAGAGGAGAAACATAGAAAGTGTTGATCAATCATATTTTCAACTGACTTTTCAACTGACTTTAAATCGACCGATATAAAGACACATAAACTTTATTCTTATGCTTTGAGGAGCACCTACTTGCACTGAATCTGACTGTAATTACTAGTTGTGCAATTCGTTGCCTGATCGTAGATTCGCGAACTGTTTTAAAGTTTTAAGCACTTTGCCGGATTTCTTTTGTTTTTAAGATATGTTCAGACTGGACTGTAGACTTTTCGTTTCTAGAAAATACTAATATTTATTTGATGCTTTTTACCTAGTTTTCATATTAATGACAGGCATATATTTGCTTTTAATTATTAAAAAACGAATTGAAATGATAGCCCTAAACCCATAAATTTCCATACCGGATTGTTTTTACTTTTTTTAAAACTTCGATTCTCGAACTTATTTAGTTATTTAGTTGGAGCCGGATTGAACAACTAGCGGGCTAGCCTTTAATAGCTTAACAGCGTCTTTTGAGCACACAAATCACTGGTTATTGGGAGCATGTTTCATAGCCACAAGTACTTCAGCAGTGTATAATATGCATTATTATACATTGTACATTATTATGCATTGTGCACTATTATGCATTGTACATCATTATGCATTGTACATTATTATGCATTGTGCATTATTATGCATTGTGCATCATTATGCATCATTATGCATTCCACAGTCCTCCAGTAATCTGTGGAGGCGCAGCTAGCAAAGATTTAACAGAAAATACAAAATCATCTAACATAGTTTGCTTGATCATTATGCTTTAAAGCCATCATAAATTATATTGATAAAATACCTTTAATAATATTCAGATATAAACCTCATTACTTTCCCCCAGAATCTTTCTATAACAACTTTATTTCCTTCACGGCTCGAAAATTCTTTTAAATATCTTAACTTTCATTAAATGAAACTTCCTTACTTCAAGTGTGATTTGTCTCTTAAAAGAAGAACAAACTCTTTGCATAAATCTTCATTTTAAAGCTGCTCCCTTTCTGGGCTTGAAGCAAATTAGCATGATGTTTGTGATCCTCCCAAACAGCACTTAACAGTCCTGCCAGCATATTAAAATCCCGCAGTGAGACTGATTCAAGAGACCCCAGAACTTTCTACGAAACCATATTCGTCGTCTTGCGGATGGTCCTGATTGATTATGAGTACCTTGATGGCTTGGACAGATCTATTTACCCCGAGTGGTGAGATTTTTTAAAATTATATGATGAGTTCCTCCCATCCTGTTTTCTAATTGAATTGTATAGCACTGACAGAATTTTATAAAAGTAAAGTAAAGTTGATTAATTCAAACCATTTTCTGTACTTCAACAATCTACCAAGTATTTCACCTCATATTTCACCACGTATTTCACCACATATTTCACCACCTATTTCACCTCATATTTTACCACATATTTCACCAGGTGGATGTTCCTCTCAGTGATCTGGATCTACTTGTCTTGCGTAGTGGTTCTTAATCTCCTTATCGCTCTGATGGCGGATTCTTACTCTAGGATATTCGAGAAAGCTGAGCTGTTCGCTCGAATTGATAGAGCTAGGTATGTTTCATAAGATGGGTTGTTGTATGTTTGTGATATCTTTTGCAAATATGACGACTCAAATTTGCTGTCAATATATTGAATATACTCAATTTCAAATAAATCAACCGACTGTGATCCTGTCTTTGCACTGGTGTGATGATTGATGTTGTTTTCTTGCTCTAAAGTTTGAATACTTGATAATTCAGGTTCATTATTGAGTTCGAGAGGACATTGTCTAAAGAAGTGATGGAAGGGTGAGTACAACTTTTTAGTTCGGATGTATTTTGTATTTATATTTCAACGTAGTGTCAAAATTTCAACTAGCATATTTCTTGAATGAACCATCAATAAGTATTCAAATCGCCCATATTATCTTAAAGTTGGAAAAGCTCCAATAATATTTGAGCGTACTCCCACATCCAGAAACACGCCATCTTGCCAGGCAGCCTGGGAGGAAATAAAAGGAAATAGAGGAAATTTTTGAGAAAAAGAGGAAATTTTTGAGAAGTTACTCCTAAATTTCAAAATATTTTTTAGGAATAAAGACAAATTAATTGAAGAAATTTTTGAAGAAAACATTTCGATTGTATAAAAATCAAAGAGGAACATCCTGTCAGTTTTGGAACACAGTGAAATATTCTGATTGGAGAATACAGATTGCTGTTGTGAAGTTACAAAATTTACGTGAGTACTTGATTCTTTTCAATCCCAGTCTATTGCTGTCCTACAAATTTCTTTAATGCCAAATGTCGTCTAAAACACCCTATTTCGAAATAAATTTCCGGGGGGCTGCGCCCCCCTGGCCCCCGCCAAGGGGCTCCGCCCCTGGACCCCGCTGGGGGCTGCGCCCCCAGACCCCTGCCACAGCTTGCTCGCTTCGCTCGCTGCGCAGCTGGATTGGACTAGTAGTCTCGCTTCGCTCGCCGACGCCCCCCCCCCCCCCAAAGAAAAAACCTGGCCACGTCCCTGCTTGTGAATTGGCCCAGTGTTAAAAATTTGCGAAACGAGTGGGCCACAGAAAAAAAGACAAACTTGCGAGCAAAGCACTTGTGGGCCACAGAATTTAGAAAAAACGCATCTGGGAGGAAATATAAAACTTTCTGGATGTGGGAGCGTACTTGGGAGGCCGATTAAGTAAACTGTCCTTGTGTCACGTTTTTATATCACTTGGGCGACCACCACCCAAGCAAGATGCAAATCTACAAACACACTTATCATGTTTAGCACGGTCCAATTTATTCACTTTAATTTAAAATTGCTTCCATGCAAAATACAATCAAGTTTTAATCCCGATCCTATGAGCTATTGTGCACAACTTGCCTTCTTTAAAAAACTTTCTTTTATATTTATACTGCACGATATAGATGATTCTCTACAAGGAGCTACAACTGTTGCTACTCAAGGTAGCGATATAAACTTCTGAGCATCGTGAATAATATTGGCACGTACAGCTCAAGAAAACTCGTTAAGTTTACTTGAGAAAGTTTGTCGGCGTACTTTACTACTGTAAAAATATTGACATGCAGTTATATCTAGAATCTCAGCATACTCTGTTTAAATGTAAAACGCGGTTTCGAAAATTGCCTATGATTAGTAATTCGCAAAATATTCTGAAAGTGGAGATGAATTAACTGACCGAGATTGTTCTCTGTAAGCCCAAAAATACATACTCAACACCTAGTACATGTAATATTAACTAAGTTGAACAAACTTCTTGAAGTCTTTAAGAAGAAAAGCAACAACGTTTTATGTGCATCAACATGCTCGGTAGGATTTTCAAAACTGTGGGTATGTTTTAGTTCTGCTCTTTGGTATTTGATTTAACTTAAATTTAACTTAACCTTAATTTAAATGTAATTTAAATTTCAACATGTCCAGGTACGAGAGTCAAATGAGAGATGAGTACGCACCTGAGATAGTTAAGTTCGACCCAGTTACAGACAGAGATAAAATAGACATCGTCGAGGAACAGGCTAGTAATAACAATTATTTGTTTTTACAGATTGCTTTACTAGGCAAATTTGTATACGCTGTGATGCATGTTTCCACCAGCAAATCTATATTTATAGATTTTTACTTTTGTTTAAGTATGAAAGTTGGACAGGTTGCAAAAAAGCTGATCATCGAAAGCTTGATATTGCAATAGAGTAAACCTAAAAAGTTAAAGGCCAGAATTTCCTGAAAACGATTTACACGAGCGTATTTTGAAAGCTCCTGCTCAATAAACACTACGTATTACTTATATGTTTTAAACAACCCCCTCCAGGCCAGAATTTCTGTTTCATGATCATAATTCTAAATTATAATTGTTAATTACGATTATTTATTCACATAATTATAATTATTTATTCACAGGTGGCTCAGCTTAGCGATAAGATAGATCGTTTAGAGAACCTGATCGAGAAAAGCATCGTTGTAGAACTGCAAAAGAAACTTGAAGCAATAGACCAAGCTTTGACCCTCTACAACTACTAGTTGCTAGGTTACTGTTGCTAGGTAACTGTTTCTACAACTGCTAGTTTCCAAGATGACCTGCAGTTTCCCTCGCCTCGATATAGTTTTTATTTAATTATGATTTATAATTATTTTAATTATGATTTCATGCTGTTGCTGCAATTAAGCACTCTGATTATAGTGAATATCGAAAGCAAGATTTGAAGAACTTGCAGATGTACCAAATGTTGATTTGGTTCTCTGTTTTTAGCAAATTAAATTGTTGTAGTAGGTTTGTAGGAGCCCCGTCAGCTTTTTGTTATGTGACATAATTATGTGACATAATTATGTGACATAATTATGTGACAATATAATTTTAGCAAAGGTAAATATTTGTGTGTGATGGAGTATTTGGGTAATGGTTATTTTGGTTGGTGTTATTGCTTTATGAAGGCCATATTATCAAATCAATTTTTAAGGTCGATATCAAAAACAAGGTAATTCATTTGTTAAGATCGATATCGGAGGTTCTATCAGGTGGTTTATAGTAAGCCTTTATCAAACCTAATGCATTAAATTATTTTAGTTAGCTTGTTTGTTGCATCGGCTATATTTATTCGCTCGTATCAAACACGTCTCCTCTTTTATTTTGTTGTTCAGTATAATTAAATAATTAAATAATCAATTAAATGATAATTAAATAAACAATTAAGTAATCAATTAGATAACCAATAAATAGGAATAAATTAAATCTTAACAAAAGTGAAAAATTAGTTTTTTTTGTAAATGGTTAAAGATGTATGGTTACGTTGAAAAGAAATAATTTCAATGGAATAATGAGTTGAATCATCAGTTCGAAAAAACTAATATGCTTTCGGCAAATTTTCTTGCTTGAGAGCGATTCTAAAATTTGCTTGGCGCCTTCGACCCGACCACCGGTTACTTGAGCTACTTAACTTATAACCGCCCCAATAATTAATGATTTTTAATTCTTTATGAATATGTTAGTCCCGCTTTCATTCATCTTTTTAAGCTTTTATAGTTTGAAATTCATTACTAAGTACATTATAAGTGAATTGAATATCAAACTGCTTATTCCGTTTACATGTATTTCTCCAATTATTAATTTTTATCAACCAACTACTCTTTCCGAGCCTCACGATTCATTAGCTTGTAAGTATGATTCACTTTGATGTTATGATTTGCACTTTGTCCCTTTCCTTAGTCTATACCCAGGTAGATCTAATCCCACTTCTAGACGATAAAATTACACCTCTCCTCCCGAACAAGAAAACCCAGGCCGTGTGCAATGACATGTTTTGTGAAACTCCAAAGAAACTGCGTCGATGAAAGTTTTGCGATAAACGGATAAACAAGATCAACAAAATCTCCCGGTTTAGAGGAAAATTTGTTTGTGATTTTTGTGCGGACCCAGGTTCACACAATTAATAAAGGAACAGTGAACACCCCCTTCTAATCAGATGTTGGAGGGGGTTGGATTGGGTAAAATATGAAGATACCCACCAGACTGGCCCTTGGATCACTACTTGCACTGTAAGGCTCATCCTTTGATCGTTTCACAATGACTGATGTCTGATATCTTAGGAACTTATTGATGAGGAGTTTAATTAAGTTCGGAGGAGAAAAGTTGTGGGATCCTTGTCAAATAAATGCGTGCAGGTTTTTTGTTGTTAATTTAGAATTAAATTTAAGGTGTTTGCTTTAGATCGTCCTATAATCTTATCGCAATGAAACATTATAGTTTTATCTGATGAGCGTTTTCGATAATTATAATATAGTGGTTGACGTATCTTTGAGATCATTATCTTCATGCAATTCTACACTAAGATGGCAAGTACGTACGGTACAGGGCTTTAAGTACGTACGGTACAGCTACTTTTAAAGGTACGTACCGTACAGGCCCTATAGGGTACAGACTTTTTTGGGAAAAAAATGAAACTTTTTTCAAAGTTAGTGGAGTACTTGCAATGTTCCTTTAGTATTATCATAATTTTATTTGAGGTAGTAGTCGAAGAGGAACATGAATTATTAAGATAGTAAATTAACAGTGAGAGATAAAAATGAACAGTGACAGATAAAATCAGTATCACATTTTAATGTGCTTATTGGAGTAAATAAACACTAGTTTTTCAGCAAGCTGAGGCTTCAGCCTCAGCCTTCTTTTATTCATATAATAAGATATTCATATAATAAGATAATCGTAGTCTCTAAAGTTTGTTTCACACATTAATGAGGTTTTTTGTGCGTCTTTTTGTGCATCTTTTTGCAATTGCAAGCATTGTACCTTTCAGCCCAAGTTTAAAAGTACGTACCGTACAGCTATTTTTAAAGGTACGTACCGTACGTACTTGCCATCTTAGAATTTCTACATTCGTTCAATCATTAATTACACATGAGATAGTAATCCTGATCAGGACTGCGTATCGAAGCATGTTTACAAGCAAATGGATCAAGGAAATTGTAGTTTACAAGCGAATCACCGGAGGGAAATTAAAATAAAATTATATTACAAAAATAAATTTTCTGGTCACTTATATTGCACTTATAGTAACGAATTTTATACTTTATATTCTTTAGATAAATAAATGCCTGTTCGTCTGGCTGATACTAGTTAGAACGGTGCAATGTCTGAAATTGTTTCCAGACAACCCACCTGTGAGCAGTTACAGCTGCCCTAATGGAAATTCTTTGCTGGAATGGAGTATGAACAAGGCAGCAGCGATACTGCAAGGGCAGTCGAACTTTTCGATGACCCAGTAGAGGAGTCTACGAATCTCTCCTAAGTAACCTAAATAAGTAAAGAATACTTCTTTAACTGGCCCTCTCAGACTCTTTAACTTTTATATCTCTTCTAACTATAGTGAGAGATCGGATGTGTGCTGCCCCTAATTTTAAATAGAAATCTCCAGCGACTAATCAGTGATCATCGCATTTTATAACGTTATAACGAGCTTCAGAGCTGAGAAACTGAAGTCTGAAATAATTCACATGCAAAATGTTTTGTCCTTCTTGGAACTGGTTATACGTTGCACGACAGGTAATTTTTGCGAAAGAGCCAGGATTTAAAATTGTGCAAGGATCTGCATCAGTCCTCGCAGATCGTCATTTCGAACAATTAAACGCTATCTTCATCAAATAGATAAATATTTTATTCTACTTTTGAGGATGATTTAGACTCGAAGCGTGCTGTTGGTCGTTTTGAAGTTTTGAATACTGACGTGATATTCTAGTTAAATGAACAATCTCTGATCAATATTATATTTCGCGCGAAACCTCGAGAAGGCTGTGTGGTTAGCATAGCTATAACAAAAATTGTATTTTCTTATTCTGAAACACTCTAAAAATAGACATAATAAAAGTAAAAGAAACTCACGGAAGCTTTAGATGCGGGTTTTGGTTCAGAGGGAGGGGCTGGAACAATTGGAGTTGCTGGTTTGACCGGCTCTTCTGCAGCAGGTGCTGCTTCTTCGGCTGGTGCTGGCGCTACCTCTGCGACTGGCTCAGCTACTACATCTGCTACAACCTCTGCTGCTGGTTCTGCTGCTACCTCAGCTGCTGGCTCAGCTACAGGTTCGGCTACAGGTTCAGCTACAGGTTCGGCGACAGGTCGGCAACTGGCTCTGCTGCTTTTTCTGGCTCGGCTGCTGGCACGGGTGTGATTCCTATGTCGAATTCGTCAATGCCCTTATCTGAAAATCATACTGGTAACTTGACCTTTTGAACTGAACCAAAATTGCACAATAAAATATGTATTAGTAATAATATGAAGGATTCACGTCGTGAAGAAAGTTTGCATTGTCAAGACTGGAATAATTAAATAAATCATAAATTTGTAAAATAATCAGCATAAAATCTCATATATCAATTATACATCACAGCATATTATATATCTATTATTTATAATTAGTATTATATATAACCATATAAGAAAAGAGAAACGCCATCTTAGGTTGCGAGGAGAGTTTGAACTTTTCTGACTACAATTCCTTCTGTGAGGCCTTCAATGAATTTAATTTATAAATTAAAAATAATAAAAATATTTACGAAGGATCAGTATCTTACCATCCCTAACTCTGATCTTATCGGCGAAGAAGGCTGCGGAGTACTTCAAGATATCTTCAGGCTGGTCTCTGAGGACCTCTCTGGCAAGAGCCTCTAGGATGTTTTGGAAACCGTTGGGGATTTTGATGTTGTTGGGGGCGTAACGAACAGACATAGTGACTAAGATATGTGTTTGTTAGGCAAATATATACAACATTTTGTGTAAGTACTACCAGGAACCCGTCTAACCCAGGCTCTTGTTACCAAAACGAAGAAATTCAAAACCGGGAGCGGATTTTAAATATATCAACTTGGGTCTGGGATGATTAGAAAATAATTATTAGTAGCAAAGTTTGAAAATCATCAATGAACTGATAGTGATACAACTTTTAAACGCAATTTAAATGGACAATGAGCTCATTGACGTCTTAGATATAAAAGATGAATTAACATCGATAAAGTAAGTAATAGTGGTCAATCGGAAAGAAGTGTGCACATAAAAGTTGTAAGATATTACAAGATACATAAGCCGCGCGCGACCCTGTAAAGATCGTTCACCAAAAAGCGAGGATCCATTAATTAAAGCTCCACCTCCAGCATTGTTATATGAACATTATAATAGAGAGGTCGTTTTGAGAGGGAATGAGACGGCTCCCTCGGGAAAGTTATATGGTCGTTTTATCAAGGGAAAGCTCGAGAAAGAAACTGCATGACTTGTTGTTATCACTATTACGACATATTCAGATGTGCGACGCCTTCAAGTTGTATGTGAAGGGAAGTAAACAGCAGTAGAGATTGTTCAAGCTACTTGACGATGGTTTTTAGAAAAGTAGCAAGTTATAGTTATTACTCTTGCTATTCTATTTCTATGCTCTGGTAGTCATGGTACTATTAACTATACTTGTATTATGGTAAACATCAGCTGTATTCCAAGTGAATGGTAAACCGTAAGGAAGTATTATTTACTCACAGAAACGTTTCAAGCTTTACTAACTTATTGTTTGCCGATAAGCAAATCTATACCATCGAGTACTGTCTCTATACACTATAAAGTACATTACTGTTACAAGCTGTATGAGGCACAGTAAAAGTATAAATGTTACAGATCTATTGAATTGTACGTGTCACAGTGAGAGAGTAAGTAATGTTACAGATCTATTGTATATATTGACAAGCTTAGCTATAAGCCAGCATAAAAACATTAAGTTGTACAAAGTTTCAATCCGAGACAAAGCAAAAATACATGACCAAAATGAGTCCACGCAACGGCAACTAAAATATTTGAATAGTGAATAAAAAGTGCAATATAAACGTAAGCAATTAAAAATGTGATCGGCAAATCTTTGAATTTTTAGCTGACGAAGTGCGATTAGAATTCCCATAACTGCAGCAGTACACACTTCTAAAGTACTAACATGATTCCACACGTTACCACACTGCTAAGAACGCTTGTAACTCGTCACAGAATCACAATCTGCACATCACCACGAAACTGAAACACAACAAGATCAAAACCGCCAAATATTGCACTGGAAAATATGCACAATGCCTGCCAGCAGTGGAATACATAGAAACAGCTCCAAACAAGCAGCTGCTTGTCATGTTTTCTGAATTATTCAAGGTGTGATAGCAGCTGGTCTCAGAGTTGTGCTGTAATATTATTGCACTGTATTTGTGTACTGATCACAATCTTGTAGTGTCACGTACAGTTTTATAGAGTCCTCAACTACATATTATAGTCCTTTAAAGTCCTCTATATAGGGTCCTAAATAGTCCTCTATATAGGGTTCTAAATAGTCCTCTATACAGGGTCCTAAATAGTCTTCTATACAGGGTCCTAAATAGTCCTCTATATAGGGTCCTGAATAGTCCTCTGCATAGCGTCATCCATAAGAGGACAATATGGCACTATATGGACCTCCTGCTTGTCATGTTTTCTGAATTATACAAGATGTTATGTGCACTGCGCATAATAACTGATATTTTATTACGACAGTTCTAGTGCACGCCGCCACCAATGATTTGCAGTCAAAGCCGAATTCCGAAAACGAGAAATCGCAGTCAATTTTGTTTCTATTGACTAGTCTCCAGATCATTAAGTAGTTAAGTACACCTCAATCTTACCAGTATGTACGTCATCAAGTAATTAACATGCTATAGCTGCACCGTGTGAAATTGAAGCAGAACTGAAGTTTATACGAATTATACAAAACTGAGAAAAATTAAAAGTGCCAAGAGCAAGCTTGTACTGCATACAGACTTTGAACAGAAGGGATAAGATCAGGGTAAAAAATGTTATTGGCCTTTACAAACATTTTGCAAGAACTGCAGCGCGGAGGGGATGGGACCACAAGAGGGTACGGCCAATGGAATTCTATTGTTATTAAATTGTGTAAAGTTGAAACAGTTTAGATAGTTTGTATATATGAATTCCAGGAATTGTGATGGTGTAGTGTACATTATATATATTGTGTAAAACTGCCGCCCCTCAAATTTTAGTTAACAGACTGAGCTATAATATGACTATATATGAATATATACTGCTGGCAACCGCCCAAATATAATCCAGGTTAGAAATTAAAGGTATTTAGCTATGGTGTACACAATATGTTTCATGTGTACACTGTACATGTGTTAACTAACTACCCGTATAATATGATAATGCCGATCTGTAGACTCAAATATTTTGAGGTACACTGTTAGAAGTGTGGAATGTTTGGACTCTTTAGTCTCTGAACCACTGTTGTGGAGCAAAGGCTGGTTTACTGCAGCTGTATTGTGTAAAGCATTGCGATAAGTAGATTGATGAAATTTAAGCTGACCTGCAGTGCTACTCTTAGAATCAGCTAAATAGAAGATTTCGAAATAAGTTCTCAGGAAAGACCCCCCCCCCCCCCTGCTCCCTTTATCTTTTTATCAGCAGAGTTCGCGGTTTTGAAAACCCTCATGACTCGGGGGAAGCCCCCCAAAAAATGATGGCTATAGTTACTGTTTTTTGTGCATTATGCCAAGAAGCTGGTTCAAAGTCTAACTACAAATGTAATGTCTGACTCAACATAAAAAGGATCATTTCTACCTAAATTAAAAATAGATTTACGCACAAAAAGACAAATAAACACATTACAGACGCAACGATTACTAAAAGCCTAGCAAATTGCAGGGACTATAAATACTTACATACTTACATAATAAACCTAAGTAGTAACCGCAAGCACTGCTGTGTTACATTATTGCAGCTAGACACAAGAGAGTGTTGTACTTTATAATGCTTTTTACTCAACCACATGGCGTATAAACTATTAAGTCTCACATACAAAGTTCTTAAGAAGCCTGAACAATGAGGTAGACTTTAAGGTAGATTTTATAGGGTAGACTTTAAGTTAAGGGACCGTAACCCTGAAGTCTACCCTTAAATGTATCCTTAGTGAATAGTGGTAGTGCCTATTGGATAATGCACATAAAAACATAAAGCAGAGTTACTACAAGCATTAATGTACATAACACGTTTTGCTCAAACCACATAGCAAATGTGTCTCATAACTCATAAAACTAGCTCAATATAACAGTAAATGTACTCAGCTGTACGGGATGGAGTATTAGATTATTCGATTATTAGATTATTAGGTTCCTAATCTATAGGGACTGTTTAGCTTTGCAGGATGAACTGAGTATCAGGGACGGTATGTATTAGATTATTTATAGAGTTATATAGGGACAACAAATACGGAACATTTTTTAGCATCTTTAATAGAGCGAGAGTTAGAGGGTGTAACCTAAAATAAACTAATCTAAAACTATTTGAATTAGTATTACGAACAGTGATCTTGTAATTCCTGATAAGTTTGGAATATTGATAACTAATTCCCTGAAAATATTCACGGAAAAAATGTTAATCCAAGATCATTTTCCGATTATCACGTTTGAATAAACTTAATCATTTTAAGAAGACATATCAAATTACTAAATCATTAACACTTTAACAGGTATCACGCACAAAAAATAAATTAACAGGAAAACGAATGAAAAAGCATCCAGGCAAGCATGAAACTTAAAATCACAGGGGAAAAAATAATAATTTACGTCCGATAAAATAAAAACGGTCCGACAATTCCGACAAGCTTCACCGTCTCGATCAACAAGCAATACTTCATGTTTGCTTATCTTAGAACTCTGTGACGTAGCTCCCACGAGGGGGCCATTCTAATCTCCAACATAAGCAAGGTAGCATGTCAATAGTAGCATTTTAATACATTCAACACTACTATAATAGTGCTTTAGTAGTGTTGTTACATTGAAACGTACAACAATTCCTTATCCTGATAAAAGCCTTTTCCTTGTCGCAATAATCGCGAACACTACAAATTTTGCCCCAGAAACTTATAAAGCAGATTTTGCAAAAATGTTTAGTTGTATCTAATGCAGTGCTGGATGAGTGCTGAAGGAGCATATGATATAGCGTGCAGTGCAGCTGCGGACATGCAAGCTTATCATTGCTTGAGCTCTAGAGAGAGAGAGAGAGAGAGAGAGAGAGAGAGAGATAGAGAGAGAGAGAGAGAGAGAGAGAAAGAGAGCCTCCGCTCTGCAATATTTTAAGTTGACTGTGTATTTTTTTATAAAGATTGGGGTGGCACATTTAATACATATAATAATATATTTGTGATGTGTGTCGTGCAATTTTGCTGGTTTTAATTCAAAATCGCGAAGAAATACGACAATGATTTTAATTTTTATTCGATTGTTCTGAGATGGACGGAAAACAGCGGCATGGCGATTGATATGAATTGGAAACTGATCTTGGAATGATTTTTCAACTATTTAATAAGTTTTAAAGGTTTATGTAGAAATTTAAAATATCTGCAGCTGCTCGCTGATTTCAATTTCTGCAATTGTTTGCATGTGAGAAGTATGTTAAATTAACATACTTATCACATTGTTAATACGGTGGTATCTGCGCATGTACAATATCTGACTGTTCAAGAGCTCCGCGATATACTAGACAACCGATCATATATTACATGTGTTTAAACAGGCCTGACACATTTTAAAAGTTTAAATATTTGGGCTCCACCTTATTCTCCTACGTAATTTGCAATTGATCTTTAGATATTTGAACAATTTATTAAGATATATGAACAATTTATCAAGAGATTAAGATATCTGAACAGCTAAAAAGAT